CTCAGTACAAGAATGGTTTGTTCTAATAATGTGGCATTGTATGATACCTTCCTGACACGGTAGCTGAAAACAAAATGGGTGCATAAGCAAGTGTGGTAAAGAAAGCTCAATGTGTCCTGCTATTAAAAGAGGGTGGAAAAGTTATAACCCTTGATTACCAATAAAGTTGGGGTCTCCTGCTCTCGCTCTAGGGCTCTCCCCATGAGGACCACCAAGTGGGGCTGAGGTGAGCATGCTACCAACCCCCTTCCCAAAAAAACCCCCACAAAAAACAAACAAAAAAAGAGGGTGGCTGGAGTGGAGACTTAATGCCCATCTGTAGACAATTGGACATCTGTAGATGATTGTAACCCACAGAGGGGTTACAAGGAAGGGACAATTCAACAAGGGTGCCCTATAGCACTGAGAAAACATCATTCCTCTAGTTCCTGGATGCTTCTCTTCCCCCCTTTCCCCCGCAACCCATGACCCAGTTCTACCTTACAAATCTGGCTAGCCCAGAGTACACACATTGGTACAGATAAGAGCTCTTGACACATGGAATTTAGGACAGATAAAACCCTCAGGAACAGTCGTGGGAGTCGCAAGAGTAGTGACATCACAAGGTTGGATATAAACCCCCCCACCCCCCACCCCCCGCCGCTGGGGGTGCGGATGAATAACAGAAAGGTGAGTGAAGGGAAACAAGGGACAGTGTAAGACAGGAAACAACAATAATAATATAGAATTGATCAAGGATTTACGAGGGTGGGAGGCTTGGGGACAAAGGTGAAAATACCAAGGGTTCAAGTAGAACGAAATTGTTTTGGAAATGTTCATGGCAACATATGTACAAAGTGTGCTTAATACTATTGAATGATGGATTGTTACACAATTTGTAAGAGCCCCCCATTAAAATGATTAGTTAAAAAAAAGAATAAAATTCTTAGGTATGATTTAAAACAGAAGCACATAACTGAAACACAAAAATTATAAAGTACCCTTGAAATTAATTATAGAAGACTTAAATTTACAAAAATATCTGAAACTTTAAATACATTGTGTAAGGGAATGATTTTAGGATGCATATACAACTATTGATAGGAGAAGGAAATAATATTTACTCACTCATGTCTTTTTGTAATATATATCTCATATTGATTTGTGTTTTAAAAATAAGAGGAGTTTTCAGAGAAAAAGCAAAAAAGATATAGCTTCTGGGGTCTTAAAGGCTTCAAGGTAAACAAGCGGCCATCAAGCAGGAAAGTAACAAAGTCCTCATGGAAGAAGCACACCAGTCTGTGTGATCATAAGTTGTAGACAGGAAGAGGTATCAGAAGTTAAAAAAACAAGCAACCAAATCAACACGAAGGTGCATGGATGTAGTGGAGATCCCAAACCCACCTGTAAGATAATTGGACAGTCCCTTTCAGAAGGGCCATTAAGGAAGGGATGATAAATCCAGGGTGTGGTATAGCACTGATGAAGCACACTATCCTCTAGTTCTTTAAAATTTCCTCTCCTTACTATTACGGTTTTTATTTGTTTTACCTCATTAATCATGTTAGATTTGCACATGTTCATTTGTATATTTAAG